CCAGCAGGAGAGCACACTACCCGCTGAGACACCCAGGGTGAGGCAGCCCCAGAAGGAAGGCTCATCTCAGTTTAGACCTGGCTGTAGGGCAGGGCAGAAGTGAAGAGGCAGTCAGACACAAGCAGGGAGTGGGGAAGATTACCCCAGCTGGCAGGAGGGTCTGTTAGGAAGTGCGGGGCAAATGTCCGCCTTCACTTTGTGCCGAAAGGATGGTTTCATAAAGAACGCAATGGATGCCGCCATCTTCAGATGCTACATATTTGCATTTCCCAGAGACGCCTTCAGAGTTGTGAATTAGCCACTGGTCTGCTACGTCACTGAGAGCTCCGTGCACGCGCGGATCTGGGACACGGCAGAGCTTGATCTTCAAAAGGGATGATCCTCGTGAAACGTCCATTTCTCTAAGGCTGACTCCTCAGGACACAGCTCTGCTACTTCTCTTTGTATCTCTTAAAGTCTCTTAGAACCCTGCCACCCCTCGTCTGCCACGTAGTGGCATGGGTGAGGGAGAGTTGCCCTCCCCCGTCAATCCCCAACCCCACCACACCTCCTGCACCTTGCTACGTGTGGCAGATTCCAGAACAAGAGTCTTCTTTCTGTGTGTGTATGGAGGTGAGGAGTTAGTTTGTCTCTTTGGTTTTTTGTTTGTTTGGTTGTTTTTTTTTGGGGGGGGGGGAGGGGGTTAGTTTTTATTTACAATTTGCTGGGGGGCTGCAAGGGCAGAGGGCAGATGTGAGGGGACAGGGAGATGGGTGGGATCAGGGTGCATGACGTGAAATCCACCAAGAATCAACAAAAGTTAAAAAAAAAAAAGGTGTCTTAGAAGTTCACTACTCTTTGTTAGCTCATATATTTTCTTTGTGTGTGTACGTGTGCTTGTTTTTTTTTTTTTTTTTGATACAGGGTTTCTCTGTGTAACACACCTAATTGTCCTAGAACTAGCTCTTGTAGACTAGATTGGCCTCGAACTCACAGAAATCCACCTGCCTCTGCCTCCCGAGTGCTGGAATTAAAGGCATGCGCCACCACCACCTGGCAAGCACATATGTTTTCTTTAACTGTCCTCAACATGGAAAATAACCTCAGCAGAGCCAAAGCACAGAGATCATGAGCGTCATCAGCCCTTATTCCGTAGACGTCGTGATGGGCCTTTAATTGCATGATTCTTCAACAGAGGGTAGAAGGATAAGACCTTCTGGGTTACAGCTGCCTTCGGGCGCATTTTGAGCCTCCCCCAGCCTACTCCCTAGCCTGGCTGTACATTCCAGTCATGTTTAAATATCTCCTGATGTCTGCCTACCCCCAACACTCCCCATCACTTCCAGCTATCTGTGCACACTGTGACTATTGCTTAAAATATTATTCCATTTTACTCATCTGGCTAAAATACAGATGATCCTTAGGGCCTGGTTTTGCCATCATACCCTATGACACACGCCTTCTTTGGCATATGGTTACATAGCCTCCTCCCCTGCTCCCACCACATTGGGCCCATCTGCCACCAGAGCCAATATTCTACGGGTCTGTCTGCTTACTGGACAGTAAGCTCCTTGAAGTGCTGAGTTGTCTTGTTCTCACATGAATAACAGCTAGAGTAATTATTAGCCTATCGTAGGAAATCAATTATTGCATATTGAATGAATGAATGTGTATTCATTCCCCAAGTATTTGGAAATAGATCTAGGGGGAAAAAGAAAAAGGAAAAAAATATATCTTGAAAGGAAATTCAATATAAATCCTAAAGCTTGGTCAGTCTAGGCTACAGAGTGAGACCTTATCACAAAATAACAAAAAGGAAGGAAGGAAGGAAAGAAGGAAGGAAGGAAGGAAGGAAGGAAGGAAGGAAGGAAGGAAGGAAGGAAAGAAGGGAGGAAGAAAGTAAGGAAGGGAGGGAGGGAGGGAGGAAGGAAGGAAAGAAGGAAGGAAGGAAAAGAGGAAGGAAGGAAGGAAGGAAGGAAGGAAGGAAGGAAGGAAGGAAGGAAAGAAAGAAGAGAGGAAGTCCCCAAAGCATGAATAATTCCTCATGCTAATGTCTTCAGTTGCTTGTTTCCAGTTATAGTAATTTTCTCATGTCAGCCTTTCCGCGTACAGGCGTTGAGTCCTGTTTTCATTCCCCAGTATATTGTCCCACTGAAAATGTCACTAAATTGTAACTGTGAACTCTTGGGAACTCCACTGAGACGGTTGGAAGAGGACGGTCTGTGAGGAGGGGCATGGTTTTTGAGATGCTTCTGTTCCTGGACCTTGTTACTTGCCAAGTTTTAATCCTACAGATAATGCTTAAGTGAATCGTTTTGCACTTCTAATTATTGCTCCTTAGTGTGTTCTGAAAATAAAATTATTAGGTGAAAATTTTACAGCTCTAATGGAAGAACGAAATGGAATAGTGCTCTCTGGAGACTGGGAAGGGCAGTGGGAAGGGAGACGGAAAGAATTTTAATAAGGCTTCCATGGTCACAGTGAAGAAATTAGTTCTGCATTTCTTAAACTAGACTGGAGTAACTGTTAGAACAATAAATGATATATTACAAAACGAGTAGAGGAATAAAATCTGCAGCTATAAAAAGGATTCATGTTTGAAGGCATGGAAACATTCATTACTTTGATTATGATACACTGTGTATGTGCATTAGATTGTCATGATGTGCCATATCGAAGGTGTACAAATACTAAGCCTTGGCTTTTAAAAAGAAAACTTTACGTTTCCATTTGCAGTGCTTCCACAAACACATCTCAATATACTCTTGACTGTAACATTATCTCTTTTAAGAGTGAAGCTTACATTGGCAAATAGGACACTTGGGTTTTACTTGGACTTATTGGGCATCTGTATTACACTCCCTTGTGCCCGTTTTTCTGCTGGATCATTTTTCTTAAGGACTTAAAAGCTTTTGCAGGGTTAGGAGCACAATCCTGAGACTGAGGAACTTGATGCTGGCCTGTTGCCTCCACATGTAGACACCGTGCGTGTGAAGTGTCCCATGCCCTACCTCTAATCCACACCTTCCGTGTTCTTGTTCTCAATGCTCTGCCTCTAATCCACACCTTCACTATTCTGGTCTTAGCATTTTATAAAAATGTTAAGCCCAGCTCTATGAATTACTCAATTAGTTTTCTTGCCCTCTTTAGATACATTAGATACACATTTTACAACTCAGAAACACACTTGGTCATTGTCCCTCTTTCTGTTGCCTTGATGATACACTAACGAGAACAGCCTGAGGGAGAAATCTTGAATTCAGCTTGTGAGTCCTTGTTACAGTATATCCTTGTGGGGAAGTGGAGGCTGCAGGAGCTTGGAGTAGCTTACAAGTCCTGGTTACAGTCTATCATCGTGGGGAGGTCGGGGCTGCAGGAACTTGGCGTAGCTGGTCCCATCCACAGTAAAAGAGTAGAAAGAGAATGTTTGCTTGTGTTCAGTTCATGGACCCCACTCTTACACAAGTCAGGATTCCCAGATAAGGAATGGTGGCTGAGTCTTCCAACCTCAATTAACAATATGGTCAAGATAATCTCCCAAAGACATAGAATTATTTCGTTGTTACTTTGGAACTGTAATTTTGCTACTATTACGAATCATAATGCAAATATCTGTTATGAGACCCTTGTGAAGGGTCACTCAACCTGTAAAGGGGTCACAACCCGCTGATCTTGACAATTCCCTTACCAAGACCTTCTCCCGGGTGTCTGTAGATTATGTCAAGCAGACAATTAAAATTGATCATCACAACTTGGACAATATATTTTCTTCTAACTCTTGTTACTGACTTTGCAGGGGTATTGAATTTGTGATGTTTTTATTCCTGTGATCAAATATCTAACCAAACCAACGCAAGGAAGGAAGGGATTATTTTGGCTACAGTTTGAGACACAGGCATCTTGGCAAGAAAGTTGTAGCTGCAGTTTGAGGCACCTGCTCACACTGAATTTTCTGCCAAGCAGCAGGGAAAGGCAGTGCTGGCATGCAAGTTGCATTCTCCCTTTTACTTGGTCTATGATACCGTTCATGGAAAAGTTGCCACCAACACTTAGTATGCGTCTTCTTATTTCTGTAAGGCAGTCCAAAAACTCCTATCCAGACATATACAGAGACGTGTCTCCTAGATTATTCCAGAGCCTGTAAAGCCTGCAGTCTGTATTAGCATCAGAGATGTATCTCCTAGGAGATTCCAAACCCTGTCCAGCCCGCAGTCAGTATTAGCATCAGAAATGTGTCTCCTAGGTGATTTCAGATCATGTGGAGCCTTCAGTTAGTATTAGCATCAGAGATGTGTCTCCTAGGTGATTCCAGATCCCGTGGAGCCTGCAGTCTGTATTAGCATCAGAGATGTGTCTCCTGGGTGATTCCAAACCCTGTCCATCCAGCCCACAGTCAGTATTAGCATCATGGGAATGTTAAGTTTCTGCTAGTTTGGTTTTCCTCTTTTGAGGCAGGATCTCACTAAGTGGCTCAGGCTGGCCTCAAACTCAGTCTTTCCACTCCTACCTCTGCAGTGAGGAGATTACAGACAGGCACCACCAGGCCCAGTCTCTATCAGTTTTCTACTGCAGTGGCTTTCATTTAACTTTCTGGACAATTTAGAATTTATCTGTGGCTGACTTTTGAGGTGAGGTTTGAATCAGAAGTTTTACAGAACAACCAATTTTTTTTTCTAAGACACTCTCACAGCTTTTAGAGAAATGCTAGTGGGTGGGATGAAGAGATTCTGGCTCCATGTTTTAAAATGCATACTGCAATTCCAGAGGACGTGAGTTTAGTCCCTGGCATGCACATCAGGCAGCTCGCAACTGCTTGTAACTCCAGGGGATCTAATGCCTCTGGTACCCATGGACACCTGCACCCATGGACATATACCCACATAAAAATCCACATCACACGTGTAATTTAAAAAAATAGATCTTTAAAAAAAAAGAAACACTACCAGGAGCAATCATAGTGAAAAGGAAGCAACCAAAGATTTAGCTTGATGCTGACGGTAAACTTTGCCTTGTTCCTCCAGGTGATCAAGAGCCAGCGGTGAGTAGCGACTCCGACATCTCATTGATCATGGCCCTAGAAGTGGGACTGTCTGACGTAGAACTTTCCACTGACCAAGACTACGAAGAGGTGAAATCTTGAAATCGTCGAAACAGACAAGAGAAGACACAGGACCCAGGGGCCCAGGAAGGAAGCATGTCCAGAGACTTGAACTGGATACCCAACCTTCAGTTCACCATGGTAACCCCAGGGCACTCTGTTCATGGGTGGTAATGAAAGCAATATCCAAAGTCTGCAGAATCAGGATGCCGGTTCCCATCTCTGCAACACTCTGTGGCCTTGGTGTGGAAGTTGGAAGCTGGATTCCTCCACATCCGTACAGACACGCAGCCAAAGGGCCTGCCGCTGACTGGAAGGAGATCCTTACCGCTTCTTTTAGCATCTCCCATCTTCCTGTTTCTATTTGGAGAAGATGGCTTCATTCCCCTGACAATTTCTTTTGAAAGACGATGTGTAGTTTACATCTATTCCTTTCTTTTCCCTGTGACACACTCCAGTCCGTGGCCAGAGGTCCTGGATGCTGCTCCGATGATCAGTTTGTACCGCATCTCTGAGATTTATAGTCATGGGCTCTCAGTATGAAGTGTGTATGGCCTTGAGAATTGCCTCAGCACCCGGAAATGGTGGAAGGCCAGAGTCTATCAAGTGTCTAGCTCCCTCCTCTAAGTGGGTCTTGATGAGCCCTGTGGCCAGAGGCAGCAGCGCTAAGTTCTGGACCTGCTGAATCCATTGTTCATTGTTTTCACCTGCATCATGTTGGGCTCCGCCTGCCATGCTCTGTCCAGGGTCACCGTGGCAGCGAGAACTATCAGGGACGAGGCTGGCTCATCTGACTTCAGGGTCTTAGTCTAAAACTCAGAAGTTCCCTGTAGGGCCGGAATATAAATTCTCAGAGTGTGTGTGTGTGTGTGTGAAACTCTAAGCCTAGTTTAAAAACCTGATACCCCCATCTTCCCAGGGCAAGGAAGATGGCTGTTGCCCTGGTTACCAGCAAGGCCTCGGGTTTATCAACGTTGTAAGTGAGTTCTCTGTGTCCAGGTGAAAGAAAAGATACAATCGTTTTTTAGGTCACTGGTAACCAGGTGTAAGCTTACTTCTGGTTCTGTTCTGTTAATCCTCACCAGCCTACACAGAAGGCACTAAATAAATCCTTAGCAGCTTGCAGGTCTTCCTGAGAGCACCCTTGTCCCAAGAGGAGGATGAGGTGTGATTTGATAAGGTCTGAACCAAAAAGTACATCATGGGGAATTGCTAGACCGAGTTTCTCCTGATTGTGAGCAACAAATAAGATAAAAAGAAAAAAAAAACATAATCAATGACTATCTAAATCCACCTGTACTATAAAGTAGTTTATGGTTTTATTCTTTTTGTTTGTTTGCTTGTTTGAAACGATGACAAAAATGTGCTGTTTTTCCAGTGGGCAGTTTTGTGGATACGTGTAGCCTCTACAGAGGCAGAGGTAGCCCTGCATCACTGGGCAACCAGGAAAATCTCATCATCATCTTAGCGGTTGGCAAGGTCACCCAGAGGCTGGGATTAACCAGGAGAGCAAGCTCTTCCCACTGAGCTGTATTTGTATATTTGATTTGGGCTTTTCCACCTCATTACACTAATACTCGGGCAAACAGGGCAAACAGTAAGTCCTTGCTGCCCACTGGAATTTTGAGCTCAGGGCCGAGCTCTCCACTGCTCTTGTGCTGGCTGCCTTCCGTGCGCTCCTGTTTGCGGATGTGTGAGTGCACAGCCAGGGGGAAGGACCTTCAGAAAAGTCTCTTCTGCCGATGGTCCTGCAGCTCCCATAGTCAATTCCAGCCTCCAGCAGCAGCGAAGATCCATAGCAAGGACACAGGCGAGCGCTGAACCAGGGTCTGTGCAACGAGGAGCGGAGCGTAGCAGACGACTCCCAGGGTTCCCTTTTTCTTGGACCACTCTCTTGCGCTTCTCCAGTGGGATCTACTGTGAGAATAGCTGTGGCACACAGCAAATGCTGATAGGAAGTCTAATGAAATTAGGGTAATTCAGCAGCAAAGGAAATACAAATTATGCTGCAAGCCCAGGGAAAAAAGGGTCTGGTGGGCGTTTTCCTGTGTTTGATGGGCATTTTCCCGCCAGTGGTCAGGTAAATTTCTGATGACATTAAGCAAGCCCTTGACGTGATATCCTATAGGATGCTGAGTGGGTGACGAAGGACCCAAAAGGTCCGTCCTCTTTACCACAGCCTTCCCCGCCTCCTTCCACAGAAAAACACTCTGACCTGGGGGTCCAGTGACACCCACATGGCAGTGTAGCCCCGAAATGCAAACTGAAAAGACATTTGCAGGCATGCAGCTTTCTGCAGCCAGTGTCTGCCCCAACTCTGCCCCGTAGAAATACAGCCCAAGTCACAAACATTTTTTTAAAAACTTTCCCATTACCCACATTTTAAGAAGCAAAAAGAAACAGGTGAGAATAACTTATTAATATTTTTCTTTTACCCAATATTATTGTTTTGACACACAATTGATATGGAAAGTATTAGGAAACTATTTTCCTCTCTATTTTTTATTATATCTTCTAAATCCGTGTGTCTTTTACACACACAACACATTTCAATTTTTACTAGCCACAGCTGAAGCTTTCAGTAACCACGTGTGCCTAGTGGCCGGGAGATGCTCCAGAGTCCTCTCAAGTCTTCCTGGCTCTGACAGAAGAAAAGGGGGGAGAAGATTACCTCAGTTTCAGAGAGAACCAGACTCCACCGAGCCACCTAAGCAGAGGCCAGGGGTGTACTTGTTTTATAACTAATATTGGTTCAGACAGCCTCTACTCATTTTCCGTGAACTCTCTAAACACTAGTATCCACTATCACCAACTGTTACTTCTCTGACAAGTTGTAAAAAAAAAAAAAAAAAAAAAAAAAAAAAAAAAAAGACAACCGGCCATATTGACTTGGTGCTTCAATGAAAGTACACCCTGGTTTCTATGACAACCCTTGAGAGTCCAATTACACCCTCGCTTCTATGACAACCCCTTGAGAGTCCCATGTGACACTTAGCCAAAGAGAATCTTCCTCCTTGCGGCTGTGAGGCCCTTGAGAACTGGAACTCAGACTCCTGAGGAGAAGCGCAGAGACCTGCATACGGCCGCACATATACGCTCATGTGACCTTGCCAAGAGGGGTCTGGGAGCTGTGACCATCCAGATTGGAGAACAGTGAGCGTCTCTCTGTTCAGCGTCTACCATCACACACAGGCTGTGGGAGGCAACGAGCCTTGAATTCCTTCCGAGTTGGCTTTCTTCACCCGGGAAGAGTCGATGCCCCAGAAAGGCAGCATTTGAACACTGACCAGCCCCCAGGGCTTGGCCGAGCCTTCAGTGTCAATTCTGGCCTCCCAGCCAAGGGAGAGACGCAGAATAGAGAAAGTAGACAGCAACTGTACCAGAGGCGCCTCGATATTCAATACTCCACGTAACATCCCGGCCGCGGAAATGGGTCTCTGTCCAGAAAAGCTTTGGTGACTTTTGCTTTCGATTTTTTCTCGTCTGTGGGTATTCGTGATGTGGTCCCATTAAGAATGGCTGTGACCGATAACCAAGTCAGTTACAGTCCAGACAGCCCCGGGGGGCTGCCACACTTTCAGAACCAGAAAGGACGCCAGAGTCTGCCTAGGATTCGTTGTAGGCTTAGTTGGTGCTGAAATAAATTTCAGAGTAAGAATTGAATGGCATTAAGTTGTCCACTGAATGTATAGGCTTGGCCGAACATGAAAATCACTAAATAAAAACTTTCCGAAAGCTTAGGGCATGAGTGTCACACGCGGTTATAAGGAGAGGGCCCAGCCTTCTGCGGTACTGAGGCCACTGAGGCCATGTCCTGTGGCAGCCTTGCCTTCTCTTCTTTGGGCTTCTTCTGTGCTTCTCTGTGTTTTGATGAACTGCTTCTTTGTATGTGCACTTTCTCTATCATACCTCTCATATCCTTTTTCCCCCATTCTACTCTCTTTCATCACATTTCCTCCCTACAAGGAATATTCCAGTAACAGCCACCTGCTGCTGCTCCCTTTCCAGACTTTTTGCCAGAAGTTCCTTGAGTAAATACTAAGAAGCCTACAATTCCAGAATGCTGGGATCTGCTCTCTTTGATTGTTTGAGACAGGGTTTCTCTGTAGCCTTGGAGCCTGTCCTGGAACTAGCTCTGTAGACCAGGCTAGGCTCAAACTCACAGAGATCCACCTGCCTCTGCTTCCCGAGTGCTGGGATTAAAGGCGTGCGCCATCACCACCCGGCTAGGGAATCTGCTATCTTACATAACCAGAATCTATAACCTTCTAGTTCACATGCCCCAGAAGCAGACTCTGTGGCTCCTGTATCTGACATCTGCCCAAGCTCCCCTAGCATCCATGGACCACTTAACTCTGTCGAAGAGGAACAGGGGTGCTGCTCTTCAGAGGTCGGCTACCTGCTTTCTTGGGGAGCATCTCTGTCCTGCTCGGAGTGGACCAAAGAGCAGGGTTGATGGCTGCATTTCACAGGGGAGGTGGCCGAAAGGACATCAACGAGGGAGTAGAACCCCAAGTCCAAAGCAGGGCTGGCTTAGTGGGAAGTCTCTCTGGAAAAAAAAATGCCCCTGCCCTGGGTTCAGAGCTCATCAGTGGGTCCCAGGGAGAATGGGCATTTAATAATTCAATATTCATGAGTTAAAACACTCTTGAACTGCAAAGAAAATTGGAATAGCAGAAAAAATAGGTTAGTTCTGAAAAGCAGGGCTCCGTCTCTCGGTGATGTGTAGTTCTTCTCGCTCTGCTTTGCCCCCAGCGCCAAGCCTTTTATAGCGGGGACAGTAGTATTTAAAGTCCGCTAGATAGGCAGCCACTTTGCCCCACTGCAAGTCTTTTGGTGGCATGGTGCTGCCCCAGAGCTAATGAAAGTGAGCGCAGATCCTAGACAAGCCTGTCTGTCACTCACTTCCTCTGCGTGTCTGCATCCTTCCTGATCGACACTCTCTCTGTCATAACCCTCATAACTAAGCGGCTTTTCTCATGAACCTCAGTTTCCAGCTCCTCTAACCCATGGCCCTGTTGATGCCCACACTCACTGCAGAGCTGTTTGCTCCCTGGCCTCTTGGTTCGTGCTCATTGGTGGTGATTAGGTGGGAGCGCGCTTCTTGTAAGAGCTCTAAACACAGGCAGACAGAACATCTGCAGAGAACAGAGAGAAAGCTGAGTTACCCAAAGACATTCCTGGATAGAAAGTCTGTGGGTTTGCCATCCTTAGGCCAGCGGTGACCTTGGGGAAGCCAGGAAGATGTGAGGACCATGTGTGCTAAATAAACCAAAGACTGAGCGCCACCCAAATGGACACATGTTCTTCCGCGAACTAGCTGAATTTTCTCCTGATGTTCTCATGAGGAAAAGTCAAGATGGACCTTTAGTGGCTTTGATTTTGGGGGGTTGCTTCTTGGTCTTGCTAAATCCATAACTCTAAAATTAATAAACTGTGGCCTTGGTAATATGCTCTCTTCAATCTTTAGTGTTTAGCCCCTTTGTTCCTTCAAAACTTTCAGACAAATCTACCACTTATATTGAACTCAGAATATTGTTTGTTTTCTTTGAGAATGTGAAGACTTTAAACAGCCAAAGAATTTCCATGTATAAGAGCTAGCTCACTAGTATACCCTGCTCTTTGAAGAAAATACCAAATTGTCATCTGTAGGGCTAGAACAGATGAAGGTCAGTGCCCGAGCTTGGCATTCTAAATTTGTGTCGGTATCGTCAGTGCTGTAGGATGTTATTGTAAGGGGCAGAGCGCCCTCTGCTGGAACAGTACCTAGATTCTTTCAGCACGTTTATTTGCCTTGGGTCTCCATTTCAGCAATGTGTGTCTTGCTTTTTATCCATACCATTCCCTCAATTTGGTAGGATTTGTTAACACTTCTCACACGAGGAGAAAATGTCATGAACTCTAAAGGGCCGTAGGAGACTGCAAGGCGGACCTGTTTTAAAATGTTGCTGTGTTCTGTCGCTGTCTGGGGAGAGGCTTCCAGCTGGGGTGTGTCGGGATTATCAGCAGAGGTCTGTTCCACTTCCTCGTGAAATATCAAAGGAAGATCAATAAAAGGACTTCCTCCGTGTGAATGTAAACGGCGTGAAATATGTTCGTACGTGTACAGAAGCTTTCAACTTACTAATAGAAAACGATTGTACTATTTTATAATTGGGAAGCGCGGTAGAGGTGGGAGAGGGTGGGGGCGTGCTATTTTTATAGTGGGATGACCATTGTGCTTGGAAAACTTGAAGTCATTTTTGTATTGTGAAGTTACATTCCATCTACTCCCGGGGTGGGGGGTGCGGCGTTCCTTGAGACTCTCATCAGGTGGAAAGAAGAGTTTTCTGATTTGCAGGAGAAACTTGAGCATATTTGGCACCAGATGTGGCGCACACATCTGTAACCTGCAGACCATAACCAGTTTAAAAGCAGGGGCACAGAGTAGGGCGGCATTTCTTTTTTCTTTTTTTTTTTCTCTCTCTCTCTGTGTAACACTTTATTTGATTTTTTTAAAAATTCTACAAAACATGGATTTGCAAGTCTGAAATAATCAAGCATGACGTCATAAGCCTGTCTCCAGCATCACCATCCCATGAGCAAAGGGACCATCCAGTGGCTTTAATGGTCCTCCCCAACATGAATTATGTGCTTCCATTGGAAAAGGACGCAGCCACAGTCAGGATTTTATTGAGCGTGCCCACAAGGTCACGTTGGCAGGTCCCTGGGTCAAGCGCAAGATGGCCCCATCCCTGTGTTTCTCCTCACCTCACAGTCAGAGGACATGAGGTGGACTTTGCTCAGCTTCTTTGTCCTCTGATGCACAAATTACAAGAACAGCTCCAGGTGGTTTTCCATGGGGAATTTGGGGCTTGGAGTTTGGTGGTAGCACGTTCTACAGCTACGCTGGGAAAACCTCACGTCCTCTGCAGCCCCTGCATATGTTCGTGCCTGGGGGGGGGGGGCAGTGTGTTGTTTCTGTTTGCGGTCTGTCTGTGTATTTACATACCTACCCAGGACATTATTCCTGCTTGTGTCTGCCTGTCTGTTTCCTTCCTTCCCACCCTAGACACCAGCCCTACTTCCCTTATGCACTTTATATCTCTTTAAACACACAAGAAATTGGAAGAAAAAAAAAACAACATTGACTTTAAAGGACTCGGTCTTCTGTTAGGAAACGCAGATTCTGTTTCGTTTCCTTGTCTTCTCTGTGTGCTGGGAAAGCATCTGCGGTTTGTCTGGTCCCGGGCTAGGGGTGCAAGGTTAAGGGTGAGAGCTGGAAACATTCACTCAGACATGACTTTTCGTTACATTAAAGACTATAATGTAAATAGGTACACCTGTGTTCTGCCGTACAGTCAAAGGTTATATCAAAGAACTTAACACGAGGATTGTGGCGTCCAGGAATTTTTTTTTGTTTTTTTTTTTTTAATAAAATGGAAAGAGATCTTGTGGTTGTGCCATCCATATGCCCTGATTCCGTCACCTCCCACCCAGGGTGGCCCTATGGGTACCAACACATCGATATTCACTGTTAAATCATTATTATAGTCAAAGAGCAAGACATAGTAACAACTGACTCGTTTCTATCAGGTAGGTCAAGGATCAAGCACACGACCTCTTCACAGATCTGCACTTGCAAATGAGTCGATTAACGAGTCAACGGCACTAGGCCGGTGCCATAGCTCAGAGAAGAGAGGCATTTGCTGTCTAGCTTGATGACCCAAGTTCGAACAGAATCATGGAAGGAAGGAATCAAATTTGAACATTCTCTCACGTGCAAATGCACTGTGACACGTCGATTGCGTTGGGTGGGTTACTCAGTCTAGGGGTTTGTAACCCACCCTGCAATCAGTTATTCCAGGGTCTCGAAGGGGCGCTACCTGGAAGGGAATGAGCTAGGACAGAAGAATGAGGCTAAGCAGATTTGTCAAAGCCCCCTTTTATTAGGATCATGGTTGCTGCTTATATAGGCCCTGCATGAGGACTTGGTGGGCAGGGCACGGGATCTCGCCGCGTGGTCCCGGTCAAGTAGGCCAGGTTCATCACGTAGGCCAAGAGGTTACATTCGGACAGGTAGACCAAGAAGTCACAAGTTGCCACACCTGGTTCCCTGGATAGCTGGAATGTGAGGCGGTTCTGCTAACAGATTAGCAGTTAATTGGGTATGAGGCAGGTTCTCTCAATAGAACATAATTATGGGTGTGAGGTTCCCTGCAGACTCCCCAGGGTGATGGTTCCTGTAATGATTTTTAGGGGGGAAATGGCTCGTGACAGTGACACACACACACACACATTCACACACACACTTACACACTAAAGAAGAGATAAATTAATGCAGTAAAAAATTTAAAATGCAGGGCAGTGGTGGTGCACACCTTTAATCTCAGCACTCAGGAGGCAGAGGCAGAGGCAGAGGCAGGCAGATCTCTGAGTTGAGGTCAGCCTGGTCTACAAAGCCAGGGCTGCTACACAAAGAAACCCTGTCTTGAAAACAAAAGTTAAAAGCTTTAGCCTTTTGCAAGAATAACTGACAAGTTCACTGGCAAGGCTGTGGGGATGGCGCGGGCTGGGGCTGGGTTCCATTTCCACCCTCCATGGGTTTGCATTTTTAATCATGGCTGTGCTGGGGGGGGGGGGAGTCTTCCAGGTAGTCTGTGACCCTCAAGTCACCGTGCTTGCCTTTGACCCCCAGGGTCTGCACCTCCCTAGGGCTAGGTGCCTCCACATCCAACCTTTTCTTCTTCTGGTGAACCTGCTATCCAGGTCCTTGCACTCAGAGGACAATTGCTGTGGGGACTGAGCCCTTTCCCCAGTCCCCCTAAATGATGTTAAACAGCAGAACCTTGGGTTTCGCTCAGGGTTTGCAAAGGAAATGTATAAGAGGCAGGACAGGAGGCAAAGAAGTTAAATGGCGCCCCTGGCCACTGAATCACTCAAGTGAAATCAGCAGAACCTTGGGGTGGTGCAGACCCAGCAACTGCCCCTCAGGATCCCCAGCTCGTGCCTTCTAGGGGCAGGTCAGTCTGATCCCTCCAAGTCATCCCCCCCCCACCATCAGGAGGTGTGGACCCCAAAGATAACACTGTCAAAAGCTCCAGCGTTTAGCTTTGGCCTCTAGGAGCTCATGTTTACGTACATAGCAGTATCTTCACAGCGTAGCTTCCCCCAGGGACTCCAGGCTGGTAGATAATCCAAGGGATCGCGAGGAATGATGACTAGACTGGACCGCACCACCACCTCCTGGCTGCACTTTGACCTTTAAGCTTCTGCCCACCGATTTCTCTGGCATATAAAGACAAGAAGCTGTTACACAGAATTCAAGCACCATTGCTCCCAACCCCAGCCTTCACATCTTTCCAATAGAGCAGGACTTCCTCTGGAGGGCGCACGTGCTGGCGTACACTTAAAATTACAGCAGAGGCCCCAGGTCAGTGGGGTAGAGACAGGGTACCAGGCAGGCCACATTAGCAGACCAAGGCTTTCTGAGACTACCGTCAAACCATACTGTAGCTTTGCGTTCTGGCTTCCCCTGATTCTGGACGATGACAGAATATTTTCTCAGGGATTTGTTTCTCAGCCCAGCCCTGGACACGGCCACCTATGTATCAGCATTCAAACTGCATCTCGGGATTTCACAGAAGCCTAGCGTGGACAGGATGCCAGCCCAGGCCTCCAGGGAGTACACACACATGTCTAGAGGCATGCGTGCTGGGAGGTGTGGGCTGAGCTCCTCCAGTCCTCGGGGCCCTTCCACAGCTAAAGACCTTGCTGAACCTCCCTCTGATCTGAGTCCTAACCGCCCCCATCCCCCACTCGGTGCCTCCTGGAACACCCCTACCTTTGTTCTTTGGGATCATTTATTAAACAGTTGAGGGAGAAACCCGAGCCAGCTTCATTGGCAGCCTCAACATTTGGTTGCTATGAGAGTTGTATACACAACAAAGCTGTCATTGATATTATAGATCTTGCGGGAGCCAAGGGTCTCAAATTTCTAAGGCTAAAGCATAACTCGGAGTTTGGAAAAGGTATCCATACTATAAATAAGTGTGGGAGCAGACCTGAGTTACAGACTGAGAAAGCGACAGCGCTGGCCTGGGGAGAAGCTGTCAGCATTTGACAAAAGGCCTGCGGCCTTTGCCGCCAGCACAATTCCCCAGGAGCCTAAGGAAACCTTGGCTGGGGTTGAGGGAACCAGGACTCATCCTTGCTGCTCCCTTATGCAGGGGAAAGGGAGGTGGCCCATTTCCTTCCTGCCTTTCTCTCTTTTCTTATCTTCTCTTTATTCGAAGCAGGAGGAGAAAGGAGAGGGCTTTCTCTAGGAGCAGAGTCAAGGCCCACACTCCTGATCTCAGGCCAGGGCTATCACTAGGAGCAGAATCACGGCCCACACTCCTGATCTCAGGCCAGGGCTATCACTAGGAGCAGAATCAAGGCCCACACTCCTGATCTCAGGCCCATGGTCCTTTGCAAGTGGGAGCTGTGTTACTTCCACAGATGGGCTGGCATCTCCTCAGCTCAGACACTCAGGGTGTAAAAGCTGAACTTGCTGTCTGTTAAACTGATATGTTTAGTCAAGAAACGGGATAGCTGTAGCTACATTACATAAGTAGGGAGACACACATACACATACATGCATACACAAACACACATATACACATATACACACATGCATACACATATATTCACACATATACACACATACACGCATGCATACACATACATACACACATATACACACATACACATAGATACACACATGAATACACATACATATACTTACACACATACATACACACATGTACACAAACATGTACACAATGCATATACACATACATACACATGCATATACACACACAGGCCACAAGGTGAGTCCTTAAGGAGGGTTCTTTAGTTTTACCATTGCAAACTAGAGATCCCAAGGTCTGTTATTCCTTCTTACACTCAGCCCGGCAAAATATGTCATCATCATATGGGGCTTTCCAAACTGGCTCACGGACCTCAGCTGTCCTTTCTAGAACAGCTCCTGCTGTACCTCTTGGGCCTGTACAACAGGAAGTCAAGGAGGGGCCTTCCTGCCCATAAGTCACAGAAAAGATGTTGAGAGAAACTGCCCTCGCACCAAAAAGCAAACATTTAAGCTCCTCCAAGATGAAAACCTGAGCTGGTGGGAAAGGGAGAGAAACTCCTGCTCACCAAAGTGGAAAGATGGGAAAGCAACGGAACAACCCAGAGGGAACAGGACCGCGAAAGCCAGCTCATCCTGCCTGTGTGTGGACCCCTTCACCAGCGCCCTGGTCGACTTGTGCCAGAAGCTTCTTCCCGGAAAGATAAGAGTGTGAACGTTTTAGATTCCGTGGGCCGCACACGAGTTCCTTTACTTACTTTCATTTTCGTTCTTTTTGGGGCCCACTCAACATTTCCAGAGCCTTCTTCGTGCAAAGCACACGCTGACACAAGATGGCTGTACACTCCTGTTTTAGATGACAGGGTCAGAATCAGAGTCCCTGGCAAGAGCTGGGAGCTGAGAGGGATGGCCTTGGCTCTAGAGAATGCAGGGGAAAGACGGCTGTCTCTTTCCAGAGATGTCGCCACCACAGACCAGCCTTCCTGTGGGTGATATTCCAACACGCAGTGACCTTAGCTAAGATCATTGCGTACCAATAGTGCACCAAGCAATAGGTCACACCAAAGACAGCTCCTGGCTGGAGAAATGCGCTTTAAACCCAGGTCTCTTTATGCTGTGAATATGTTTTATTATCATTATTTAATAAAGAAGCTCCTTTGGGCCTATGGCAGCACAGAATAGAGCAAGGCGGGAATTCCAAGCAGTGATAGAGGAGAAAGGAAGGCAGAGTCAGAGAGATGCCGTGTAGCCGCCGAAGGAGACAGACACCCTGGAACCTCACCGGTAAACCACAAGCCTCATGGTAAAATACAAAATAATCAGAATGGGTTATTTTGAAATGTAAGAGTTAGCTAGAAATAGCATAAGCTATTGGCCAAACAGTGTTGTAATTAATATAGCTTCTGTGTTATTATTCGGGTCTGGGCGGCCAGGAAAACAAACTAGCAGCCTCCGTCTACACTTCTCTTTGGTTCCTTTCCACAAATCGGAAGCTTAGCAGGTTGGGATGTCGCCCTGAGGTCACCACTTCCATAATTCCATTTCCTAATCTCTTTATCTCCTTGAACAGAGGCTTTAGCTCTGTTACACTTCCTGGTGCTCTTTTTCTCCTCAAAATTTACATTTTATAATTTACTTTGCTTAGCTTGCTCCTTTTTATTATAAATCTTCATTAGAGTTATCACTAATAACTAAATGGCAGAGTCTAAATTAGACTGTTTTGAGATTTTTTTTTCTGCCAATGGAATTAATCCAAAGCTCTTAACTTTAGCCTCAGGCAGACTCTTTGGACAAGAGCAAAAGGCAGCCACCTTCTTCACCGAAATATCACAAGAAAGATTGTAAAGAAACATACTAAAATTCTCCTCTGAAACCTCATGAGCGATTCCCCCAATGGTCCAAACTCTTAGAATTTCTGTTTTCCATACTCCTGCTAATATGGCCCATTAAGCAGTGCTTAAAGCATCCCTCTGCTTTCATAACCCCAAATACCGAAGTCCAAATTCCTCCAAGCAAAAACATGATCCGGCCTATTACAGCAATACCGCAATCCCTGGTACCAGCTTCTGTCTTAGTTAGGGTTTCTATTGCTGTGAAAAGACACCATGACCATGACAACTCTTTTTTTTAACATTTTATTTTTTTAAAATATTTATTTATCGTGTATACAATATTCTGCCTGCATGTGTGCCTGAAAGCCAGAAGAGGGCACCAGACCCCATTACAGATGGCTGTGAGCCACCATGTGGTTGCTGGGAATTGAACTCAGGACCTTTGGAAGAGCAGGCAATGCTCTTAACCTATGAGCCATTTCTCCAGCCTCCCATGACAACTCTTATAAAGAAAACACACAATTGAGGAGGCTGGCTTACAGTTTCAGAAGTTCAGTCCATTATCATTATCATCATGACATGCAGGCAGGCAGACATGGTGTTGAAGGAGAAGTAGCTGAGAGTCCTACATCTTGTAGACAACAGGAAGTTGACTGATGCACTGGATGGTATCCTGAGCTTAGGAAACCTCAACCCACCCACCCCCACACACACACACACAGTGACACACTTTCTCCAACAAAATTACACCTCTTAATAGTGCCACTCTATGGGATTATGGGGGCCAATCACATTCAAACTACCACACTTGGTTCCATCGCCAGCAATGAAAAAAAAAAAAAACCTGATTATCAACACTCATTGTTTACTTGTCTTCCCTCGTCTGAAAAGAAAGGTAAGAAATAGATTTTTTTTGTCCACATAAAATATGAAGGAAGATATTTAAATTAACATGAATGAAAAGACACTGGAGACATGGCTCAGGGGTTACGTGCACTGGCTGCTTTTCCAGAGGACCCAGTTCCCAGCACCCATATGGCAGTTTACAACCATCTGTAACTCCAGTTCCAGGGGACCCAACACCCTCTTCTGGCCTCTGCAGGCACCTGCACACACTTGGCATCTCTCTCTCTCTCTCTCTCTCTCTCTCTCTCTCTCTCTCTCACACACACACACACACACACACACACACAAATAAATAAATAAATAAATAAATAAATAAATAAATATAAAATCTTTAGCTAGCACAAAAAGAAAGAACAAAAAGGTAGCCATGGCAGAATGTCTAACAGATACTTCCTCAGCCCATCTGAGCAACCAAAGTTAACAGCTGTGATGTCATGCTGATTGCAAGGTCCCCTGAGACGATGGGACTGAAAAAATGATGACATGGTAGCCTTTGTGATCCTCCTCTCCAAAAACGCCATGATGGAACTTTCAGACGAATCCACAGTGAGAAGCATTCTACAAAACGCCTGACCAAGTCCCCCTAAACACTGCCAGGTGACACCATCATCCTAACAAAGTTACAGAAATTGGCAAAAGGCCAGAGAAGCCCAAGAGGCAGGACTATTAGGCATAATGTGTCAGTCTTCTTGAGATCATGGGGCAGAGGACACTGGGGGAAAGCGCAAAGACAGAAACTAAAATAGAGTCTGGGGCATTTATGGAAACACACCAGAGGGATGCGTTCCTTAGCTGGGGCACAACACAGTGGAAATGGCAGACATCAACAAGAGGGAGTCTAGGTGAGGAGTGCACGCACTCGCCGCACGGGCATTCTTACTCCATAGCTGCTTTTAACTGTGCTTCTGTTAAAGGAGATGATGCTTCATCGAATGCCTGTTTAGTTACTGGGTCTCGGCAGTTTGTTTCTGGCGCTATTTTGGAATTTCCTTTCCCACAAATGAGGGAACGCAAGACAACAGAGGACTCGGTATCCTGAGAAGTCCAGGTGTTCTTAAAGCAGGATGGTGGTGCAAGATATCTCCAGAGGATCAATTCCAATTGTTTAAGCTAAAGCTTGGTATTGTTTAAGTGTTTTGCCTGTATGTATGTCTTGCAGCAGGTATGTGCCTAGTGTCCCCTGAGGTTAGAAGAGATTGTTGGTACGTTGGGAGCAGAGTCACTGAGCCACCATGTGGATGCCAGGAATTGAACCTGGTTCCTAAGGAAGAGCAGCCTCCATTCCAATCCCAATTTTAAGACTAAATTTTTATGTCTTTAATGTAGGGCAATTGGGAAATACACCAAATGAGAGGCTGACCCTATATAATTATATCAGAGTTGTTCAAAACTTAATAGCCAAGTCTCCTAGCAAATTATGAAACACCTGCCCCACCTTCTGGTGCTTAGGTGGTTGAGCTGATTCTCCCAGTAGGGGGCGCTGGTGACCACTAAATGGAAATATTGCCCTGCCATTGGAGAACATTGGTGCATGGATTCAAGTTGGAAAAGTTGGTAGGGCAAAGCCTAAGTGTCCAGAAGTTGCCCCAGGAGTCTGTGCAGAACACCGGAAAGGAGATAAAGAGCAGCAACCTGCATGTCCAAAGATGCTTATGGGGCTAGGGGGTGGTTTGACTGTACAGCCTTTGTGGGTGTCCTTAGGCCTACATAGTGCTGAAACCATAATCCCCTAAATGAAAACCAGATTACAAGGGACGAAATAAACAGCAGCTTCACTGTGCCACCAGATGTGTTTCCCAGCAGTAACGCGGAGAGTGTGCTCCTGGACGGACCCCTCTGCATTTCACAAAGTAGGCCAAAGTTTGACCCCTGTATCTAAATGCAGCACCGAAGTCCTGGGCATGTGCATGCACATACGCATACATGCGCACAAACACTGATCCAGGGAAAACTATCTAACGATTTCTGCTTCTATTGAGTGCAAGTTCAAAACGGAACCAGTAGCTAGTTTCTCGGGTCTCGAAACATCTGACCCCTGCCATGTCTCTTTCTCACTCTCTGCTCGCATTCTGGCTCTACTGACTGTCTTCAGCCTCTAGGAGGTCTAATTGTCTCCTGTGTGGTCCAGTCCAGGCTCTCCTCTACCTACAGGGCCTTTCTCGGATCACCTTCTTCGAGTTAACGTCTGCTGATCTTTTAGATTTCAGCTCGATGGCTTCCCCTTGGAGGAAAAACACTGGCTGCTCTTACGTGCTTCCTTTACACTTTGCCCTCCCCGCTCTGACAATAGACTGACTCCGTGTACCAAACACAGCCCTAAAGGGCATTCGGCGGCGTGCCAAACACTCATACTGCGGTGAGGCTGATCCCCCGGCCTCCTCCCTAGGCTGCAGACAGCATGAGGTTCAGGTCCCTGCTGTTTTCTCTATGTGTCTCTGTCCGTAATATAGGATCTGCCTGAGAGATTCTTCCTAATGTGTGCTGGCAGAACAAATAACCGAATGGAGGGGAGGCTGAGGAGATGCCCAGCGGTTAAGAGCACTGGCTGCTCTAGCAGAGGACTGGGGTTCTGTTCCCAGGACCCACGTGGCAACTCGCAGCTATCAGTAACTCCAGTTCCAGGGGCCCATCCCCCTCTTGTGGCATTCAGAAGTGCACTGCACACCGTTGGTACGCATACACACTTGCAGTGGAACACTGCTACACCAAATTAAAGATCAGTCAACAAAGAAAGAACTGAAAGAATTAACCACATACCTGCCAGATGCCCTATTCTGCTCCTCCTGTCTGCTTGATGCTTTTCATTCAAGTAAGAGTCCCACCTAGGAGTTAGAGCTAGTCCTGGCGGCCGTTGTGTTGGGTTGTCTGAGACATTGGTGGTGGAGGTGGTGGGGTAGTAAGCAAAGCATTTAAATGCCAGCTGCACATTAAGAAAAAAAGCAA